TTTTCTCAGCCTTTTCATTTGGTCCAGAAAGGCGACACAATTAAACAAATCTGTACGTTGGCCCACCTGACAATAAAATTTGAAAACTGGCACTGGAAAACATTACAATTGCAATTGCCTTCGATTTCCCCGATTAGTTCATCAACAGTGAGTTCCCCTCGACCGTTTTTGTAAAATTCTTTGATCTGTTTTATTGGCACATCACTGACTGGCTGCTCTGGCCATATTTCAATTGTTAGCCAAATATTACACACAAAGTCAAATTATTCTGTAATTAGTCAAATAATAGCAGATAATATTAATATCTTATAGTTTATCACTTTGACTGGCAATCAATAAAAACGCATAGAAACAATAAAAGACAAAGCTCGTGATGACTCAGTCCTTGCATCGTGTATTACCAAACAGTGGACTCTTCACAGAAAAGCAGTGAAAGCTTTGGCTTTGAAGACTGCCTTTTCTTTGCACAAAGCACATCCTCCCTTTCCCAAAAGAATGTGCTTTTCCGATAAGGAGTGGATGAGAGGAGCCGAGATATGGCACAATGCAGCTGCACATCTGCCAGAGCAAGCTGTTTCACTGTGCAATTGTCTGCATTATAGAACGCTGATGGGGTTTGACTAGCACATTGCAGTTTACCTATCACGAGTAGGAAATGTCAGAGTGTCCTCTAAAAAATGTCCACGATAGTAAAAAGTCATATTTAAATCCTGTTCCCGACTGTCGGGTTGTGCAATCTTAACACACAAATGAAGCCACACGGCACGGTGTACGATGGGTAGATCATTCATCTACTGCGTGTTCACTTTTTGCAATGGAATGTAAGTTGAATCTCAGCTGCAACAGAGGACATTTCAGTTGCATCATCATCATCAACACATGCGTCCATCTCAGGTTGTCTGTCATTGAAATCCAACTCTTGCCACAGTGGTCTTGACAAAACAAATAAAAGGAGGAATAGAAGATAGTCATGTTTGGGTTGTCAGTGTTACAAACAGAGCTAGAGGTATATAAGTCAACAAGCGCATTGTATACTGCTGTATGCCATCGCCACAACCTGCCAAATGTAACAAACAATCCAACAATTAGCCATACAGCTTATTCCCTGTCTCTACAACTACTGTATTAATATTGCAGAAGACACGGATAAAGGCAACACCATTTTGTCCACAGGATTTATACTGGTTATATTTTCACTGTTCATTTGGAATAATCAGTCCTACAATCAGGAACACATATACTATACTCATTTAAAATGGAAAAGTCTTGACAGTGTTACCTTTTGACTTTTGTGTAGTGTTGCACCCGTACTGTCCACACCCAGACTGTAAATGAATGCTGCGTAATATCCTCCGGGATCCTAACTGGTCTTAACGTTGTCAGGGATTTTTGGTAGGAAGCGCGTGTTTGTGTGGAAAGTTCAGGGCATACGTCTAGTTCACTCAGGATGGGGTCCTCGCTGTCTTCAGAACATACTCATCACCTTCAGCACTCACAGGATAAATGTTCTGGTCTTTGTAGCTGGGCAGATAGCCGAGTTCAGAAAGAGTTTGCTCATAGTTTTTCTTCACAAGCTCTGCTGCCTGACACAAGCTGAGGTTGGCATCCTTCACTGACGTCTTGCTGAAAACCACACAGCTTGTGCGAAAGACGATGTAATTGTACGTTTGAAACCACACGAGGGAAGTATTACTCCAATCAACTACAGTGGCAAAAAGTATTAATCCTCTCTAGAACAATTTCAAAATTATTTTATTCCCATTTGTTCATGGAAAAACACTGTTTCAGCAGAACTTGTATTTGCCTCACGTTTTCATATTAAATTCATTGATCATTTTGTCACAGTGAGCACTGCATCGTCAATGAAATACTCTCCCCACATGGCAAGATGCAAAATATTGTTTTCAATATTTTAACATTTTAAATTAAATTACATTCAAGAATGCGGGATGGTTAATTACCTGTTGGTTAAAAAATGATGTGTGCACATGCAGTGTGACCTATCATACCATCCATATATCATTTCTCTCTCTCTCTCTCTCTCTCTCTCTCATTGTCACTGTACAAATAACTCAGGACCGACATTCCAGTCTCATTACAATGACGTACATTACGCACAAGGTGTCAACTTCGTTCTGCCTTTTTTCAGGTGGGAACGGAGGCCACGCGCTCTGCTTTCAACAAAACCTCGAGGCAGGCTACACAGAGCCCTGTGACACATTCAAGAGCCCGCCGCTTTGCAAAAGACATTTCAAGATCCAGTCAATGGAAGTGTGGGGAATCCAGAACTCGATTTGCTTTTCTCAGCCTTTTCCCTCCCAGCAAAATATATAGTTCTATAGTGTCATCCACATTGCCTTTGGTTTTACAGTTTATATATATATATATATATATATATATACTGTAGTTTGTTTTCATCATTACAGTTATACTGAGCACTGACATGTCAGTTTATGTGGTCGGGTTTTTTTCATTGTTTTCAGTGAAAAGACAATATCAGGAAATAGGGTCTTCCAAGGAATTTGACATCATTTGATCTATGAATATAAAGTATGTCAGAGGAACGACATCTTCTTGACAAATGACATGAAACAGGCCTCTATTTCGAAAAAATATTTATTCACTTTAAAAAAAATATGTTCAAACCGATATAGATATTATAACCGAACGCACAGTTTCACAAAAAGTTTAGTTTGCAGTTGCTGCCTGTGATCTGACACACTGTTTCCTTTTTTTTTGCAATCTTCTTTGAATGTTTTTGTGCCATATCTAAATCTGTCTTCCATTAAAGTGTATTTTTTTACTGATTTTTTTGGAAGAATAATGAAACACACAAAATGACTTGCGAGGGAATAGCATTCTTTATCCTGAAAAAATAAAAATAAACTTGACCTTTAGTTTAAATTTACTAATTGTAACGCATCACGTTCAGTTTCAGACAATGTCAGCGAGAAATGTCGCTCGACTTAGGAATACTGTAGCACAAATGTCTGTGCTTCACACTTTAAACATGAAACTCTATATTCTCATCCAATTTGTATTTTACAAAGAATTTGCTTGTTTCAGTAAAATAGCAGATATGGTGTGAATAAGCTTTATTAATATCACATCACAGCTGAACAATTTCCCTTCAATTAAAACAAATACAGAATAAACTTCCCTCATCTTTCACAAGGCAAATTTCATCTTTTCAGATGCTGTCTTGTCAAATAACTTTATTTAGCTCATTCATTAGGTAGGTTATGTTGAAACATACATATGACTGAAAATACACTCATTCTTATCAAGTTCATTCACTCACATTTTTTTTTGCACAATATAAATCAGTTTCCATGTGTCTTAATAACATGTCTGTAACAGAAGGACAGGAGCAAACTTTACACACCCTATTCCTTGTCTTGGTCTTGCTGAGTTCGGCCCCATCTCGGGCAAGTGTGTGAGCCTCAAGCCACCTCTGGCCTACTGCTTGCTTCTACTGCAGAAACAGAGCCCAGGGTGTGGAAAACGTTTGACTTGTACAGGCAGACCGTGTGTGAACACCAAATATAAATAGCCCACACCGCTTTGACAATTTAATTGAGCAATCAAGTAAGTGCTGCTTATCAAAAGCTCAAGCTAACCGAAGCAAAATACACTTATGTGGTATGGGGTGCATGCGTTTTTTTTTTGTTTTTTTTTTGGGGGGGGGGGGGCCCAAACAAATGAGCCAAAGTGCATGATTTTTTTTCTACGAGTAGAGGGGGAAATGACAATCGACATCGGCAACTTCACTCATGTAATACATTTCTTTTCCTTGTTTTTCTCTTATAGACCTTCTGTCTTTGTATTGTCAACAAAGTTCAAACGTGTCCAGATATAACTCCTTTTATCCTTGATCCTCTTCTCTTTCATCTATAACTCCTTCAAACAACAAAGAGTATGCAGAAAAGTGGTTAAGATTGGCTGTGTCTTATGTGTTGTGTTGTATTACCGTATTGGCCCGAATATAAGATGGCCCTGATTATAAGACAACCCCCTCTTTTTCAAGACTCAAGTTTGAAAAAATACTTTTTGAACACCAAATTAATTTTTATACATAAAATAATTACAGTACATCTGAAACAAATGATTATAACAATATAGTTGAGAGAAAGAGCATGTTATTTTGCCTGATTCAAACCTAAAATGCAATCACATTCGTAAATGAATGGCTTCTGGTTTTTGAAATGTAAATTACATCATAACTTCTCCTCAGCTGCCGGTTAACCTGGCCGATCTTCGACCCACTTTTCTCCAGATTGTCACTACGTTTCTCCATTTTCTGTTATCTCTTCTATTATTTTCTTCTCTTTTCCATCTTACCGCTATTTTTTATTTTTCTTCTTCTACCGCTATTTTTATTTTTCTTCTTTGTGGCAGGGGGTCACTTTGGCCTGGGGAGTCAAGTTCAGCATTCGTTTCATTTATATCTGGCGCCATCTAGCGTCGTGAATGGGTATAATGTCTAGTCCCCGAATATAAGACGACCCCCACTTTTTCAGTCTTATTTCAATGCAAAAAACACCATCTTATATTCGGGCCAATACGGTATTTTGTTATACAGTAATGCTATTATGACTTCAAGATGGTGTCGCGAGACTGGCTGCCTTTACAGCAGCTCCTATGCTTTTTGTTCTTCTACTTTCTTCCTTTCATTACTTTGCCGCTGTAAATTGGGAATTTCTCCATTGTGAGACGAATAAATGTTTTCTTATTCATATTCTTTTCCTGCTATTCCTCTGTTCACTCTCCCTCCCATGTGCTCGAACAACAGATGCCAACCTGGCTCCTTGGAGTCTGTGAGACTAATTGACAATTGTGTACGGGCTCTTTGAAGTAAACAACGAGAGCCAGCGGCTCTGTTTCATTTGTGACAGACAGGCATATTAATCACACATCACTACTTTATAATGATTGTCACTCGTTTGGTTCTCAGTTTTGCTTGACAGTTTGTATTAATGAGGGGCCAGGTCGAAATTTTGAACAACAAACTGCAATGTGAAACCGCTCATTTGGAGCCTTGTACACTGTCGTAAATATCTGTTTCATCCATCCATTATCTGATCCGCTTATCCTCACATGGCTCGCGGGCATGCGGGAGCCTATCCCAGCTGTCTTCGGACAAATTCTGGAAAACAATTCACAGGCTGGGTCCTTCGACACCTTTGAAGCCTCCTCATATCGCCTCTGTGGACCACATCAACTCTGGCAAATTTTGACAGGCTTAATGTAAATCTGGACACCACGTGTGGTCGGGTTGCGCCAGAGGTGATGTTGTGCGGTCGAAAATGTGGCCTTTAGAGGACCCAGCTTGTGAATTAGGATACACTCAATGTTACAAAAATAGCTTGCTTGCATTCACACTTGTTATTGCAGGACAATTTTATATGCCATAATTTTCTCAAGCATCCCCTAAAAATACCACTGATGATAGTAGTATACCATGGCTGCCTTCATTTATGTTATTTCCTTCTTAATTTCTGTCATTAAATTGAGCAGCAGTATGGAACCACATCTTCTCCACCTGCTCCTTCCCTATTTCGTAAAATTTGTGTAAAATCAAAGGGCCTCTCTTGGATAAACGCATAATATAGTCCTGATTTTCAGGGTAGCATGGTGATAGGAACAAACACAACACTAGTTGCTGACAGAAGCGACACAGGACTAACCAAAAGAGGCAGTCTCGCTCTGCCTCATTGAGAGGAAGGACACTTTCCCAGCCTGCTAGAACAAGTCCACCCACCTCAATGGGGTTGGGGTACAAATGCATCATATACATGATGCTGACAGCTAGATCATAGACAGAGCAACCAAAGCTCATATCTCCAAAATCAATGATACCAGAAACCCTGTAGCCTCTGCTCTCATCAGCTTGCACCAGCACATTGAGATCGTTTAAGTCCCCGTGAATGAGGGCTGAGGAAAGACAGACATAAAGCAGGATATAAGCAGTTGATATCCGCAAAACATCACATCAGAGATAAAAGTAGATGTAAACATTTTAAAAAAACTTAGACTGCTATTAGACAGCTTAATTGTTAAGCAGACACTAAGCAATTGTTACAGTAACATCAACATTACAAAACAGGTTAAAGGCTAATTTAGCAAACAGGGGTTGAGCAACGTCTACGATCGCTTAACACCTTAATATGTGATTAGGAAATAATAATATACTTACACTTGCGGAACCTTGGGTATTTGCGGGAAACAGTGGTTTTGTACTGATGGAGGACGGACCTAACAACCTCCTGAAGAGGGTCTCCATCTAGTACATGAATGTATTTCTCCAGAATGGGAACATTTGACAGACTCCACGTGAAACTATCCCTTTGCAACTTGTTAAGTTGAGGATGTTCCACCTGGGAACAAAATAGAAAACACATTTTAGTGTACAGGCAAAAAGGGCATTCAAATTAGCTTTGGCTGGGTTGATATGTGGAGTTTTTCTGTTCTCTCAAAGAAAAGAGAAAATGTAGAATGGCAATCGCACTGGAAATGCACCTTATATGGTGGAACTGAAACAGGGACTGTCCAACAAGAAGCACGGGTGTTGCTGTACTGATTAGACGCACCCTCATTCCAAGTAGGTGAGTAGAAAGATTTTGTGTGGTAAGGCTTGCCTACAAGCATGCAAGAAATCAGGTCTGATTGTAGGAGGGTGGAAATCATTCACTATTCTTTTTGTTTTAATGTTTCCTGTTCTGCCACTTAGTCATGCAATAAGTGTCAGTATCTAAATGCCTTATTATTTCATAAGAGGTTTGGTGTGAACCAGGAAAGCTTGATATACTGTGCAATACTCCCTCAGTTGCAATTTGTATTAAGGTGCGGTCAGAAAGAGGTTTGAGAGGGGAAGGGGAGAAAGAGACAAAAGAAAAACCAACAACGAACAACTGTTTTGGCAACAATAATAGTATGTAGCAATTGTCTCCATGTGGACTGAAGGCAGGGTCGCAATCCTGCAACACCCATGTCACCAGTAGAATTATACATAAAGGAAATGACAATTCAAATATGATTAAAACGTTATGTGTGTTCTGTGCAAGAGTTGAAATATACTATTGAAACACTACTAAACCACTGAAGGGTCTGTCCATCCCATTTATTAAAGGCCAATCAGATAATCATAATCATAATAATAATAATAGTAATAATGTCACTCATGGTGTAGTGGTACACTCGCCAGACTTGTGTGTGGGCAGCGTGGGATCAGTTCCCACTCCGTGACAGTATGAATGTGGGTGTGAATGGTTGTTTGTCTCTATATGTGCCCTGCAACTGACTACAGTTGAAGGCGTAGTAGCTGGGATAGGTGCCAGCACCCTCCCGACCGGTTCAGGATAAGTGGTGTTGAAAATGGATAGATGGATAATAATAATATAATATAATAATAATAATATTATTATTATGGGCCCGCCGGTCAACTGGTTAGCACATCCACCTCACAGTGCAGAGGTGCAGGGTTCGATTCCGGCTCTGGCCTTCTTGTTTGGCGTTTGCATGTTCTCCCCGTGCCTGCATGGGTTTTCTCCGGGTAATCCGATTTCCTCTCACATTCCAAAAACATGCATGGCAGATTAATGGAACACTCTAAATTGTCCCTAGTTATGAGTGTGAGTGCAAATGGTTGGGTGTGGCCTTCAATTGTCTGGCAACCAGTTCAGGGTTTATCCTGCCTACTGCCCACAGACAGCTAGGATAGGCTCCAATATGGCCGCCACCCTCATGAGGAGAACCAATCGAAGGAGGATGTAAGACATGTCACACTATGTGGCAAGACGAACAAAAATTCTGACATGCCAGACTTCCGCCGTGGTCGTGAATTGTCCCAAATGCCTTATAACCAATCGTTGAGTATGTCACAATACACGGGCTACAGCGTGTCAAGACAACTCAAAATCGGCTATGAGACACTACGTTTGTCTGTGACATATCTTTCGGCTCACAACTGGCTATATTCATGTAGTTGGACGTCAGCTTAAGGGAATTGCAATTGAAATCATTCATGTCGGATTTTCATCCAAAATATGCTGAAGCATTAAAGTTGGCAGCTGAAAAAAAAACGGATTTCTTCACTTTTAGTATGGGGCAAAATAGTCTTCATGCAAATGGTGTACACTTGCACCTCTCTGAGGATGTTGTCCATTCTGGCTGCAGTCTGGCCTACTTCATAAAGTAGACGTGGTGAGAGAGGAGCCTTGGAAATAGGGATTCCAGGCAAATAAGTCAACAGGCGCATCAGGTATTTCTGTAAGCCAGAGCCACAATCTGTCAAAGGTAACAATCCAATAATTAGCCTTTCAGTATTCTCTACAGTCTACAACTACTAATATTGCGGAAAACAAAACAATGTCTTATACACTTTTTTTTCATTGCATTATATGAACATGTGTGCACAACTACTGACACCCTCCCTCGGTTTTAGGTGATTGAGTGCCTACCAATGTCTTTCAGGATCATGGCCTGTCCTGTGGTTGATTTGAGGATTCTTGGGCTCGGAAATCCATTGTCATGCAGGAAGTTCATAACATAAGTCTGTACTTCAAACAAGATGGGGTCCTTACTGTTCTCTGAGTTGATAATCTTCAGCACGTACTCGCCACCTTCGACCGCCGCAATATAAATGTTCTGGTCCTCAAAACTGGGCAGATGGCGGAGTTCAGAGGGAGTCAGCTTGTAGTGTTTCTTCACAAGCTCTTCTGCCTGAGACAAACTTAGGGTGGGTGTAGCATGCCTCACTGACATTTTGCTGAAAAACAACACAAAAGCTAATGATGATGCTCATTTGTCACATTGCTGATCCCCCTGCCCATTCTCATGCTCGGCAAATCCAGATGTCAGATGAACAATGAGGGACCCAGCATGGTTTTCCCTCTGTGATGCATATGGAAAAGTATGTAGTTGAGACCGGGGGACAGCTGTGGCACTTTGAACATTTGTGTCTCTAACTTTGAGCTCTTTTCATCTAGGGTGTTCAAACTGCTTTGCAATATAGCTTCGGGTGTCTCCTAATCAACTGACTGCACGGAAAATGTCTGTGCAGCATAAACTGAAAATGCATGAAATACAAGGAGTGAAATGTTACAATTGGCCCCTTGGTCCGGGTCAGTTGTAACGTACTTTGGGATAAAACTACACTACAATGACTGTCACTGATGAGGTAACCTACCTGCCTTTTAGACAGAAAAAAGCAGCGCAATTGGTAAGGCAGTTCAGGATAGCAGCAGGTACAGTGTGTGTGCTTACAATGTGCCAGCTGTGGACACACACGCTCGCTTGATATAGAATATCCATAAGATAATGTTAGCTCGTTATTTACATTTGAGCTGACCTTCCGTTTAGTTGTTTGATGCGTCAAGTTTGGCAATAGACGTAGTTTGTCTAACTCAGCGGGAGTGATCACCAAGTTCATCAGACAGGACACTCTGTCATGCAAACTCCTTTACACAGTATAAGCTTTTGGTATAATGTTCATATCGACAAAAATGTTTTAAGAATGTAAAAATGATTACCGTATTATGTCAATTTAAAATAACAATAATAATCCTATTGTTGGTGTTGCATGAAGGTGACTCTTAATTTAGTTAAACCACACTGCCGTGTCAGAATGTATTGAAGATTTTCATTTCCTAATCCATACTTGTCTCTTCACATAGTTCTACCAGAAAGAACTTTGATTCTTCTTTCTTGAAAATATAATTCAAGAACAACGAACACATTTTGAGCAATTCACGTCTTTGAACTCAATTTATTCCAAATCGGCTTTTGCTGTACGAGACGTCCACTGGAGTTTCGGGTCCCAGAATTAAACTGACTGCAACTGAATAGCCATGATTGCTCAACAGGAGTACAAACGTCACTTGAAAATATAAATAAACATTCTATTTAAATGTTGGAAACTTTACCACTCACCTCAGAATATGTGGTGCTCCGTGGTGCAAACTATTCAAATCATCTGCTGCAAGAGGGCATTTGTCTCCCTAATAACATACCTCCTCTCTGTGCCTGTAGTTAAACTGTGTCGAAGACTGTACTAATGATAGTCCCCGCGGGAATTCGCGATTCCACAAAACCGAAGTTTCCCGCGGATTTCAAAACTCCCCGCAGAATTGAAAACAGTCCTTGGAAATCAGAGCGAGGTGCAGAATTATATGTAGTTTTCAACGCAGCCACTCGATGCCGAGGTCAGACAGGGTACGTTGACACTATAGGGCGTGATGCCATATTCAGACAGCTGGGATAGGCTTCAGCCTGCCCGTAACCCTCGTGAGGCGTGATCTTCCGCAGCAGTTTATTCCCCAAATAATGCAGGTCCAGACATGATTTCAGTGTATATGTGTGACGGGGGTCACAGCTGTGTAATAAACTTAATGTATCACTCCGTTACATATGCATACATTTATTGAACAGTAACAGAAGTGTCATTGTAGTTTGCTTCTGAGTGCTGAGTGTTGCTGCTGGTGCTTCTGCTGCTGTGCTATGCTGCTGGTGCTGCTGTGCTCTGCTGGTGGGAACAGTGTCGCTCCAAACTCCGTGTCATTCCGCAATGGCCGAGAGTCAGCCTGAACTGCACCGCTTTTAAACCCGCCACCAAGTGGTCAAAAATAACATGGGCTATTCTCTAAATCATAAAACACCCCTTTTTATGGCTCATACCCTGATGTTGATTATTTTGGAAGCACAGTGTTCCACAGTGTTTTTGTTTTGCAACTAATTTCCTAAAATAATTCTTACTTCATTAGTACATTAATTTGCCTTGTGACTGGCCATTTTAGATGGAGTTTAATGCCCACGGTAATTCACTTTTCAAGCCGCCGAATCAAGATTTGCTCTCAGCAGAATCAGGATTATTCACGGAATTAATACTTTATATACAGATTGCAGGGTGACTAACTATACTTGTGCAAAACAGTAATTACATTTAGTGACATCTAGTGGCAGATTATGTAACTGGCATTAAAAATGATTTGGATAAGAAACTTTTGTGCCCCAGTAATTTAGTCATGCCATGAATTTCAATAGACATTTCTCATAGGCTTTCGTACCACTTTTACCATACTCTTTCTTTCTCTCTCTCTCTCTCTCTCTCTCTCTCTCTCTCTATAAAAAAAAAAAAAAATCCTCGTCTCACCCCTCGGGTGGTGTCCGTCCCTCATTCAGCTCGGGTCCTCTACCAGAGGCCAGGAAGCTTGAGGGTTCTGCGCAGTATCCTTGCTGTTCCCAGCACTGCACATTTCTGGACTGAGATGTCCGATGTTGTTCCCGGGTTCTGCTGCAACCACTCATCTAGTTTGGGGGTCACTGCCCCGAGTGCTCCGAGCACCACAGGCACGACTGTCACCTTTACCTTCCAGGCTCTCTCCAGCTCCTCTCTGAGCCCTTGGTATTTCTCGAGTTTCTCGTGTTCCTTCTTTCTGATGTTTCCATCACTTGGGACCGCTACATCCACTACAACGGCTTTCCTCTGCCCTTTATCTATGATCACGATATCTGGTTAGTTCGCCATTACCATCTTGTCAGTCTGGATCTGGAAGTCCCACAGGATCTTCGCTTGGTCATTCTCCACCACCTTCGGAGGTGTTTCCCATTTTGACCTTGGGGTTTCCAGTCCATACTCTGCACAGATGTTTCGGTAGACTATGCCAGCCACCTG